TTATTAAAAATAATATCTGTAATTAAAGGAATATGACAAATTTTCATTATAGGTCTAGCGGTATAGTGTAGGAAATTATGAATCAGTCAGGTACATTCTTCATTGAGTTGTTTATTTAGATAATTGTATCTCATATCTTCCTACATTTATCATAATTTATGATATACTCGTATATCTCTACCGTACAATTCGTTCATTCATTTTACTCTGTGTTCCTACGTCACATCGAGGGACGCAAGCGGCTCGTGATTGAACCGGTTTCGCGACAGACACTCCAGCAACGCGCCGTGCCCTCATCAACGGGACTCGCTCGCCATCTTTCGCCGTGTGCACACATACGGTCTTCTCAACTCTCAACAGCGATAATACAGTCCATTCACAAGCGAAGCGTGTTTTATTTAGTCGAGACCCCCAGCATCACAACTGGAGCTTGGCATTCAACTCTCTGCCTTTATAAAATATACAGGAAATTTAAACTGAACTTATAATTTTAGAACGTTATAATTTTATTTTTGTTATAACCTAACACATTATCATCAACGCAAATATATCGTCATCTCATCTACTATAACATCCCACTGCTGGGTACGTGCCTTCCTTTAATGCTAGGTGAATCAGGCCATAGTCTGGACAAATGCAGGTTGATTTCATGTTTTTCGACATGCGGATTTCCTTACGGTATTTTCCTTTACCGAAGGCGAGTGGCAATTATGTTAAAAATTATTTATACATTACAGTATCAGAAGTGTAAAGACCCGAGGCTAGAACCTGGTACATTTGATAGCTAGGCTCAAACTGTGAGTGCTACCACTAAGCTACCACTTATCTTTTTGCCAAAATCGAATATCTTAGTATCAATCGTATACTTTGACGGTTTAGTTTTGTACTGGATACATAAAAGATTAAGATTCACTTTTATAAACGACTTTATTACTGCACTGAGTAGGCAAGACACGTCTCAGGTCGGGCCGCGACAGGTGCTATATTGAAACATCGTCGGCTTGAAATTATAATTTACTAGCCACCCCTTACTACACACCATGCATCCCACAATATCATTTTCCAATATTCTCTTAGAAATAGTTAATGCACCGAGATAAGTTTAATATCTTACTGGTTAAGTCTGTAAATTATCTTCTTCATACAATGTACGTAATTTAATCGACTTCAAAAAACAAAATCCTCCTAAATTGAATATATTGTGGTCAGGCATTAAATTCGGATGGTATTTTTGTTGAAAATACATAGTGATGGTTAAAATCCAGGGATTCTACATAAACGTCAAGAATTTTACCCCAAATTCATAATCTATATGTTATACATATAATAAAATTGTAACTAAGCCGAATCTGTACATTAAATATTTTTTTGGAAAATCTTATTGAAATAGACATTATTATGGATACAGGGGCCGAATCTATAGTTTTTAGAATTTTTGTCCGTCTGTATGTCTGTCTGTGACCGCATCACGGAAAAACCACTGGAGGGATTTTGATGAAATTTGGTATGATGATACTCGTAGATCTGCGTTAATCACAGACAATATAACCTATAATGTCTGTGGCGTTAATATATAGGATACTTTTTAATGCGTGAAAATATCTCATCTATGAGAAATCTATACTAAATTTTAAAACGTAACGAATAAATTAATTCATTATCACACATCTAAAGGGTTTCTGGATGAAAATTATAACACCTACTTTTTCTTTATTTTGTTAAGCACATATTTTATCGTACATAAATAACTAATTACTTTTAAAGTGTTTTTAAAGAGATGACTTGAGATTTTTAATAGAAAAACTTAATAACTAAATTTGGACTCAATAAATAAACTAAACTCGTGTCCAGGAGATAGCGTAATGTAAGCTTATTGAATTTTTCTTTATTAAAATATTCGCCATTTTTATTTATTAACATTCATTTACTCATCAATCAGTATATAAATTGTTATTTGTATACTATTTAAAAACATTATATATTATTTTAAAATATTATTGTTTGGCTGCATAATATTTAGTTCTACGACACTCTATCTATATTATTTCTTAGTCCGAAATTAAGTTATATTTAGTTTAAAAAGCCTATTAATAACTTAAACTACGTATATTTGCATGAAAATTAACTACATGGCGTAACATGTTTTAAAGTACTTCTACAACAACATGTATTGTACTATAATAAATATAACGTCCCCTAAAACAAGTGTATTTTGAGTTATCCTAAAAATCACTATTACACCCACGAACGATATGGTAAGCATTTCTTGAATACATTCCCCCATATTTCAATATCGATGACGAATTCTTGGCAGATTACTGAATATCACCGAATGGTTGGGTTTCGTCGACTCCTCGAATTTGACGTTAATTTGTATGAAATCTAATCATTTCCGACGCTGAGCGGAACCGTTGGATTATTGACAGGGATTACGGACGAGAAAATTGTTTTCCGGGAAGGAAAATAATATGAAATATATAATTATGACGCCTTTTTTGGATTTAGTTAGATAACTTGATTTCTAAATGGCTTTTTTACCCCAAATTGAAATTAGAATGAAGATTTCACAGTATTTTTTCTTTGTTAATCTGAGTTATGAAATTTAATATTAAATAATATATCATATAAACGTTTATATCATTCTTTGACTATTATAAATATCTTACTTTATCAAGAAAATGCGAATCTTGATTTTTATTTTCAATTCTTAAAATATTTACCACTATAATTCGTATGTAAAATAAAATGTTTTTCTTTTTTCGTTAAACAAAGTTAAAATTATTTTAGACCCTGTCATATCCCTGTTCCATTTCATCTTTAAAATATAACGTTTACCCGAAAAATTGTACTATATATTCAAAGGATTCTCCATCTTGCCCACATACCAGCATCAATTTAACTATGAAACGATTAATCACGAACTGAACTCAAATCCGATGTTCAAAGGCGATGACCGCAATATATAACCTACAGTTGTGGATATGTAAATTGTCGGTGTGACCTAGGTAGATAGGTCTCTATCTATATCTATAGATATTTTAGATAAGTCTGCAATTTGTACAAGATTTTGCTAGAATTTTGTCAAATACCACACATGTCTAGTCTGACTACCTAAGAAATATTGAATTTCAGTGGGTCTTCCATCGTAATACACACGACACGTTTTTTCGATATTTGGCTCAGTTTGTAGTGACTCTACTTGCTGTACCAGCGGTCGCGGGTTCGAGTTCCGCTGGTGGCATTAATTTGTGTGATGAGCATGAATGTTTGTACTACAGTCATGGGTGTTTATATTTATAATATGTATGTATGTATTTAAAGTTATATATGTGTAGTGTATCAACTATTTGGTATCCATAACACAAGCCTCGTAGCTTACCATGGAACTAGATGGTGCTGTGTAATAATGTCTCAAAATACAACATAGGGTAAGGTTGCTCAAGTCGTACCACGGCCTAAGTCGTACCCCGGTAATATCTTGTCTGATAATTATAAATTGCGCTGTCTAGTGTCGCTAATCTGAACTACTTAGTCGAGCGACCAAACGTAAACAAGTGGACGACCGGCCGGCTTCGTGAAGTAAAAATATTGAAAAAGTAAGTTTTTTGCACAGTTTTCATTAAAATTATTGACTCATTTGTAAACTGTTTATGGCAGGAATGAGATCCTTATCTTTTTTCTTTGTTAACGTATGTTTGTGATACTTATCTGGTAATCGTTTCGAATACTCAAACATTAGAACTTTTTTAGGTTATGTAATTACTTTTATTTTTAAATTTAGAAAACACCACTGCTTAAGTCGTACCTGTACAAAATCCCTTACTCGTACTGGTACGACTTAAGTATTAAGAAATTTGTTTAGTATATAATTTACTTAATTTTTTATCAGGTTATATCTAAATATGCCAAAGAGAAGGTACAATACTTGGAAGCAGGATGATATGGACGAAGCCTTAGAGAAACATCGAAATGGAGAAATTGGATTTAATGAAGCTTGTAGGAGATTTAATATACCGAAGCCTACTCTGCGACGACATTTGAAAGGTTTGAATAAAAGAACAAAATTTGGAAGACCTAATGATATGTCACCAGACATGGAAGAGATATTAGCACAGCATTTGATGAATTTAGAATCTTGTTTCTTCGGATTAACGGCCACTGAATTTAGAAAACTTGCCTTCGAGCTTGCTGAAAAATTTCAACTACCTCATCGTTTTAACAAGGAGAAGAAAATTGCAGGCAAAAAGTGGTATTACAGGTTTATGAAAGACCATCCTACTTTGTCGTTGCGTGTTCCAGAACCAACATCAATGGCCAGAACTAAAGGATTTAATAAAGAGCGTGTTAATGAGTTTTTTGATAAGTACGAAGAAATACTGGATAAATACAAGTTTGCTGCACACCAAATATATAATGTGGACGAAACTGCATTATCTACCGTTCACAAACCTTCCAAAGTTATTGCTCAAAAGGGAAAACACCAAGTGGGTGCAATTACAAGTGGAGAAAGGGGTCTAACTACAACAGGTATATGTGCAATGAATGCAGCAGGCGAATTTATACCACCCATGTTGATATTTAAGCGTAGCAGACTGAATGATGCCTTAAAAAAAGGAGCTCCTCCAAACACAGCATTTGGTTGCTCCAAAAATGGATGGATAACATCAGAACTTTTTGTTCAATGGCTTCAACATTTTATTAAATGCACAAGATTAGAAAAAAGTGATCAAAAGCAAATTTTTCTTTTACTAGATGGTCATAGCACCCATACCAAAAATTTAGAAGCCATTCAGATAGCTCGTGACTATGGCATTGTAATGCTGTCTTTTCCTGCACATACGACACATCGCCTGCAACCTTTGGATAGATCGTTCTTTAAATCATTGAAAAGCTGTTACAATGAAGCCGCCTCTTCGTGGCTTCGCTCAAATCCTGGTAGTATCATAAAACAAGCGAATGTCGCAGAGCTGCTTGGAAAAGCATACCCTCGGTCAGTTCGTATGGATATAGCACTAAATGGTTTTAAAGAAACAGGGTTGTGGCCGTGTGACAGAAATGTCATTAAAGAAGAGGATTTCGTAGCTTCTGTATACATCTCTAATCCATCAAATCAAAAACCTAATGATCCTGCTGAACCAAATACGGAATCATCTGCTAGGATTATATCACCGATTTTAACGCCACCAATAGTTGCATCGATACCAATGACGGCTGTATCTCCACCAATAGTATCATCCCTATCACCACCTGGACCTTCTACAATATTACAAGATATATCACATGATAATAATATATTAACAGTTGATGAAATGACTAATGAACAACAAATAAAGACTTTCTTGAATATTTTATCTCCTGTGCCTTGCATAAAAACAGTAACTAAAAAATGAAAAAAGGTTCTAAGCCTACAATGGAATTAACTTCAAGTCCCTACAAAAATGAAATGGAAACTAAGGAAAACATAAATAAGAAGCCTGTACTAAATTTAACAAAAAATAGAACAGAAAAAGTAATAAATAAAACTCCTAAAAGAAGGAATACAGATGAAACCTGCAAGAAGAACAAAAAAAATTAAAAATAAAGAATCGTGGTTATGCCAATTGTGTCAAGAAGATCGTGAAGAAAACATGATCCAGTGTTTAACATGTAAAGCTTGGATACATGACCTATGCGCTGGAGTGGAAAGTACAATAAAAAAATTTATATGTGACATTTGTGTTCAATCTCAATAGTTTTCTTCTTAGCTATGTTTTGCTACTTAGCATTACTTTGTTTTTTAAGAGATTATAATTTTAACAGCTTTTTGTTTGCTTAATTTTAACGATTATAATGTTGTTTTCTATGTGTTAGTTACTTAGTTATTAGATTGACTTTCTAATTAATAACAAAAAAAATGTTTTAAGTTGATCTCAGACTGAATTGTTTGTAATTATTTAGTTTTTCATTGTGATCTCTAGTTATAAAGTATATTTCTGTATAGTTTATTATGTGTTAATTAAAGTACCTATATTTTCTAAGTACGACTTAAGCTATATGTGGTACGAATTAGGCAACTAGGTGCCTTAATCGTACCGAAGGTATATTTTTGAAAAACGTTAAAATATCTATTTTGATAAAAGATTTTCTAGTTTTTTCTTTTGTTGATTAAAAGGCAACTAAATAAATATTCAATACATGCAGAAGATTTTGTTTTATTTCAATTGTGCTGAATTTAACAGTATTATTTCCTTAGGGGTTACGACTTAAGCAACCTTACCCTATATAATACAGAGTATTCTAATTTGTCCCTGAGACAACTTGAATTTCGACAATCGAGATTATCAAGAGAAGATTAAGAAATATATCGAAATGGTAGAATCGGATCAAATTACGTGATAAAGGTTAGATAGATATTTCGTAAATTTCTTTCTATTACATCTTTCCTTTTATTAGCGATTCCTTTTAGCGATAGTGACATTAGAAAGCCATCTTACTGTTCCTTTTTTATCATGAAAATATATAAATAAAAACCTGCATGTCTAAGAGAACCTAGCAAGTTGCGAATGCGCAACAGTAGTACATTAAAACATCGCAATAGATCTAAGGAACGTATAAGATTCTCGTATGGATAGTTTTTTTCCTTAATTCCTTGAAAACTATACTATGAACCTAAAATTTTCTAGCCAAAGACAAAAATGTATTCACTAAATTAATAAATTGTAATTGACGTAGTTTTCCACTTAATCTCACTTTCCCGATAAACAAACAAAATCCATACAAGTATATATTAAAAGTAAGACCGAAAATAAGCACGATTCTAAATATATGTACATCAAAGAAAAATACTGGAAAAGATAAGCTTATTTTTTGTGTATTAATTATACGTGTAATTTTTTACCACTCATTATTACTTATATTTATCTACACATATAATAAAATTCTAATTGAGCCGAATCTGTACATTAAATATTTTTTTAAAAATCTTATTGAAATAGTTATTATTCGATACAGAGGTCGAATCTATAGATTTTAGAGTTTTTGTCTATCTGTCTGTCTGGGAACGCATCACGATAATCCCACTGGATAGATTTTGATGATTTTTTATCATGATAGCTGGGTATCCGGATCAATATATCATATACTTTTTACTGCAGTATAGGATAATGTCTCATCTATGAAAAATCTATATTAACTGTTAAAACGTACCTAAGGATAAACCCGAGCAGAGCAAAGCTGAGTCGCTAGTTATATTATAAAGTTGCAATAAAAACTTTTTAACAAAAAAATAAAAACCGACTTCAAACAAAAGCACTAAAAAGTAATAAATAACTGATTGGTAGTTTTCATTTACTATACATACCTAATCAAATATTTTCGAAGTCGGTGTGCTTTGCTTTGTATGGGCTGGCACCGATTTCGAAAATATTGGATTAGGTATGTATTTAATAGGTAGGCTTTAATTACTTAGCCAAAGCACACCGACTTCGAAAATATTTGATTAGGTATGTATAGTAAATGAAAACTACCAATCAGTTATTTATTACTTTTTAGTGCTTTTGTTTGAAGTCGGTTTTTATTTTTTTGTTAAAAAGTTTTTATTTTTCCCTTTTTAGTGTAGACAGTAGTAGAAAAGTAAGGATTCTAACGTGTTAGGCTTGTCAAATCAAACAAAATAAGCCCAAACTCAAAGTATCTACTATTAGCCGTTGAAGAGTTCCACCATCCACCTTTTGGCCTTGCCATCAGATCAGGTCAACAACACCGAACTACTGTACTATCAACGGAAATAGAAATACTTGCAAAGTTTCAAGTCAATATGACAATTAGAAGTAGGTTAAATTCATCATTCGTTGTTTTTCCACCCTTAGGGGTGGTATTTTTTTTTGAAATTTAAATGGGACCAATCTGGAAGTATACCCTTTCAAACGACATAAAAATTGTTCAAATCGGTTAATAAATGACGGAGTTCTGAGGTAACAAACATAAAAAAAAAAACATACAGTCGAATTGAGAACCTCCTCCTTTTTGAAGTCGGTTGAAAATAGTTGGTTTTTGTTGGTTAGAAACGAAAGTGTTTTTAATACAGAGTTATTGGCTTTAAGAATTCTATTCTATTGGTATGGAATACACATTTTACTTTAATAAAGCCAAAATGTATTTTATCTAAATATGTTTGTAGATAAATCTTGAAAAAAAATCTTTTTAAAATATAAGAAAAATCTCTCTACTATTTGTCTGTTGTCTCGTTTTGTGCAAATAAGTATTAAACCGACGAGTTGTCCACATTGCAATGGCTTCAAAATAGAATTCAGAATAGTGCCACATAACTTATACTATATATACCATATAGGCTACATTTTATCGATAAAACACGAGGAATCACAAAATCTATTTAGATTTATAAAAAAATGCAAAAATCCCCCAACTTTTAACATTCTATAACATGATATTTATGCTACTTAACACTATTTCCCACATACATGGGTTTACTGAAATACATCTGTGGATCTCTTAAGGATAAGTCCACCTTTGTCCACGTCATTTTCTATGTATTTTTTATTACTTGTTTAGTTCAATAAAGAATATAAAAAAATATTTTGCTATGCTTATACTATATTATATCTTATCACAGAATTTAATTGCAGATGCAATATAAAGTCGAATTTCCATTCCGGAATTCGAGGGAACCGTTTATCTTAGCAAGATGAGACGTGCATATAATATACTAACCGACAAAGTGAAGACGTGATAGTTAGAACTACATAAGAGAATATCTCGCTGAACTCCATTGTCAGTTTGAATTAAGTTCAAATATATTCAGTGTAGATGAAATATATGTATATAGTAAAGTCTTAATGGCTGGCCAACGGTGTCTGATAAGAAGCGTTTACTGCAGAGGTCACATGATAGAATTAATTTGAAGTGAAATTGTGATATATTGCGTCAGAGATGTCATTTTCACAGGAGTCCTTTAAATATAATAATAATTTCGTCTCGATCGATTTCGGCCATGGCGGCCAATTTCATTGAGACTAGCCATTTTCACAGGAGATATTATAGTGTACGCGCAGACACAAGTGCACTTTCTATTCCTGTCACTCTCATACTCCCGTGGGACGACTACTCGATAGAATCAGTGAGAGTTAAGGCGCAGGAACGACAGCTTTACGTGCTCTCTGAGGCACGATGGTGAAACACCGCCAACTTCCCAACTCCAGAGTTTCTTGACAAAATACTCATATAACTAAACTTGGCCCGACTAGGAACTCGAACCCAAGACCTCTGGATCTGCGGCAAAACATAGTAGCCATAAGACCATTGAGACAGTTAAATGTAAAAATACATGTTTAATATGTATGAAAGTACTGAGATAATCTCAGTTAAAACTTGATATTGGTATAATTTAGTAAGCAAGCAACCAGGAAGATTGCCATAATTTAAAGAAGACGAAAATTAAGCATATGATTTCGAAATATCTTTCGTATATTGAGCTGATGTAGTTAGTACACTTAACGGTAAATAAATACGTATTATAAATATAAACACCCATGACTGGAGTACAAACATTCGTGCACAACACACAAATAAAAGCCCCCAGCGGGATTCGACCTGCGAGCACTGGTACAGCAAGTAGAGTCACTAGCGACTGTTTAAAAATAGCTTAGCAGATTTCACTCGTTATCGGACTTTTACTAGCGTAGAGGTTTCAATAAAAGTAAAACAGGCTATGTTTTTATTATTGAAACATCTAAGTTGTCAGGCAAATTGGCTACCTAAACTTGTTAATATATTATTAAAATACTAATATATAAACATCCTAAAATAATAATGTTCACACATAAAATGTATGTATATCAATCATAAATAACTGCCACATGCAAGTTTTAGGCCACTTAATTATAGAAATAGTCTTAAGCAAAACAAAATGAACAGTTTTGTCAAATATTACAACTATAGAAGGGGCAAAAATTCAACCCTCATACCTTTTAAGGTAAAAATTCCATTTTCTCCGTACATTCAAATCTACGTGCCGCATATAAACGAAATAGTGAAGTCACTCGCGCAGAAAATCAAGGTCTAGAATTTGACTTGCGATAGCATATTTTACAACTTTCTGTTGTTTTATATTGGAAATTCGATATGTATCTTTTATTGAGCATTGGTAGCATGCTCGCTTTGGAAATAAAGTGTAGTGGGTTCAAATCTCGGGTATCACACCACTGACCATGTTTGAAACATATTTTTATATTTACTAATTACTTATCTTGAAAGAAATCATAATGAGAAACTTGCAAGTCTAAAAGAACCTAACTAGTTTCAAAAGACACTCTAACTTGTCTTTCAAGGGTCTAGTACGTAATTTCAAGGGGTTCAACCAGTTTTCTATAACCTAACATAAGCCTCTCCC